CTCAAATGAAGCTAATTAAGCTAATTAACAACGCCATCTAATTTACCCTTACACGATACATTTGGATGCATATAATATCTAATCTCCTCTGATATACCATTAGTTTATATAATATCTATACATTAAAGATAAAACGAATTTTAAAATTAAAAACTTTAAAGAATTTTTAATTTTTAAATTATTTATTAATGAAATAATACCATTTGATTTCTTAATAATATATTCATCGACAGTATATTAAATATAAACTCTTTAAATAAAATTGATCTTTTGATAATAAATATTATTATAAGAAGACCGGGTTGAATAGAACCAATCCTTTATGGCAAGAAACTTCTTGCATGGAAATGAAGAAACTTGGGGTTGCTTTAGGCTTCATCAACACAAAAATTCCATGAATTTGCCTGCTTAAGGAAACATCTTTCCCATTTAAACGTATTGCATCAGTAATAGCTGTGTCAAAATGACATCATATATTGAACTAGAACATGTAATGTTTCCCAAATTAAAGAAGAAGAAAAACCAATAGAGAAAGATAAAGGGTAGAGCTTTTAGGTTATCAGCACGAACCACTTAAAATAAATTAGAGGTGAAAATTCCTGATAATACAATATTTTATTAGAGATGAGAGCTGAAAGGGGCAAAGGTCATTCCTTGGGAACGCACTGAGGAAAAAGGTAGGGTTTTTACTTGGTTTCCAGGCTGACCATCACAAAACCTGTCAAAGGTTTAAAGTCGTAAGTGTTGGAAAAAATAAAAATAAAAAACAAGTTTTCAACATTAAAGTATGCATTAGATAATCTTAAAAGCCTTTTGAAGTTTGGATTTTTCAACGAATTGAGGAGGACTTTTGAACTTTGTAAATTAATTATTCACACATTTAAAGTGTTTATAATAAATCGCACAAGCCTCAAAAGTGATCATCAGCATGTTCTATTTGGGATTTGATGTCAAAGGGTGGGTAAGAAAAATGTTAGCTTTTTTCTTTTTTGCAAGTTGCTCTCCCCCTATCCCCCACCACTTTTTTTTTTGAAAAGCAAAAAATGTCAGGCAATTCTTGTTTTAATTTCAATTGGAAGAATTAAATTTTAATATTTTATCTTTCGATGTACTTAAAGAAATCTTTATCTTTCTATTTGTACTCATACAAATCTTTAATTTTAACGAGAAATTAACAACGATCAAACCTAATGCTTCTAGCATTTTGTATTTACATGGTGTATGATATGATTTGATGATGTGTTCACATGACCCATTTCACATTATTTGTTGTGTGGACACGTCAATTATCACATCATAAGTCACATGAACGAAAACTATCAATTAATGTTAACTTTGACATCTATTAATCTTCTATTAGAATTAAATATTTGTGTAGATAAAAATCAAAAGATAATTTTTTTTGAATATAATAAAATGATAAAAGGTTAATTGCATAATGGAACACAATTTACAGACTTTGTTTTAGTATTTAAGCTATTCATTCATACCTTACACTGATTCAAATTTAGAATAAATTTATAGAGTTATTGTTTGGGCCTTTGGACTCTGGCCCATTTAGATCCCTGTTGGGCCTAACCCCCCCAAAAGGCGACGTTTGCTTTGTGCCCATTTTGGATCCAATTCTCAAATTTTGAAGTGGCTAACCCAACCCAGCCCATGTTGAAATCTCTAATTCTCACAAGCCCAATCTCCCAAACCAATAATCGAAGCACGTGACTGCCAGGTAGTCTCAAGGCACGTGGCTCATCGCAAGCGCAAACCGGGATTTTAACTGCAGCTGGCACTTACTTTCCTTGAAAGCGTTAGGACCAATTTCGCACGCGTTCACAATGCCCATTTTCAAGCAAACCAAAAACCGTAAACGGATATGTTTCCGTTTTGTTTTGTCCTACGCGTAATTCACGTGTCGGATTAGCTGCCGAATTCAACGTGGCAGTTTCCCACAGGGCTCCATGACACTGTATTAAACATTCTACCCAGCTCTTTTATCTTACGTCTCCAATGACAACTCGCCACGTAAGTCCGACAACAAGATCACGAGGTGTGTACGTGATTTCCCGCGCTGATACACGGCTTTCCTTCCTTGTTCGGGGCATTTTCCCTCCCTGTCTCTGACCCGAATTTAGAACGAGTCTATGTTTCCAGCACTCTGGTCTCTGGTTTTCTTATTCTCTGCTAAGGAATCTCTTTAGACTTTGATCCCAAATTTCCGTAAATAGCACTTACAAACTTTCTCTATCTCAAAACTTGAAGAGAGGATGAAGTGGGGGGTGAGGTCGCCAATAAAGAGGTTGCACGTGAAGGTGAAACCTTCGAAGCTTGAAGGGCTACGCAGAAGGCGGAAGAAGATGAAGGAGTTAGTAAGAAAATGGTGTTGGTTGAGATGGTATGGAAAGGACCCAAGTCTGGATTGGTTCCATTTTACAAATCGTCCTCAAGGCATAGAAGGGAACGTAGCAGTGTGAGAATTGTAGGAAATGGGAAGTCAATCGAATGGGATGATGAATTCGAGAGCTTATGCGATTTTCCAGCTGTTTCCAAAGATCGTGCTTCTGGTTCATGGGATGCGTTGTTCATGGTCTTACATGTAAGCAATTATTACTATATCCCCATCTCCTTTTTGATTCATTGGAAAAAAACACGTCGGATTTTCTTTTTGGGTATTGATTTGTTGGGTGGAACATAGGGGGAGAACGGTGAAAATAGCGGTAAATTGGCGGTGGTGGGGAAAGTTTCGTTGAATTTGGCAGAGTTGGTATTGGAAATAGAGTGTTCCGAGACTGAAAGAAAGGTTCCGATCACGTTGAACGTCGATGGTTCGGCCATCAAAGCTACTCTTTCGGTAAGTTCCGATGTTCGATTAAACTTTTCTTCGTCCCAACTCATTCTGCATTGGCTCCGCTCTGTTTCAAATATTTTATTCCATACTTTGTTCTGTCAAGACTTAGACAAAGCTTTGAATATTTCATGTTAGTTTATTTAATTTTCGGAATTAGAATACTATTATTTTAACTTAATGCAATTTCTGCCTCTGTCATGGCGCTGAACTTATGCCTAAAAATGGAGTCACCAGCAAACTTAACCAAGCTGTTTCTGTCTTACCCTTCTTAGTTCTTATGTTAATGTTTTAACGGAAAGATTATAGCTTTCTATTTATAGATAATTGAATTTTATTTATCCAAGAAAGCAGTGTGATGGCCTTTGCTGTAAAGAATCAATTGACATCTTTATATTACCAATTTCTGGAAGATAATCCCAACTAACTTATTATAAGTAATTACTTAATGAATGATTATGGTTAAACTTTTGTTTTTGTGAAGATTTTAGTGAGCTTTGCGGAGGTCAGAGGTCCACCGGACACGGCAGGAACTGTCCAAAGCTCAGCCGAGTCAAACAAGGAAGATGGGTTCTTTAAGATGGTGAAGGGTTTGACGCGCCAGAGGAAGGAAAATAGGGGTAAGACCAGCTGTCAAAAGGAGCAGCCGAGTTCGTGCGACTCGGACGAGTCACTTATATTTGACTCAGATGGCTTGCGTGGGAGTGAGTCCACCTCCACGAGTGAAAGTAGCAGCGGCGAGCTGAGTTTAGGACCTGAGTTGGAATCGTCCCAAAGTTTGGAAACTACCCAGAACCACATGGTAAGGCTGTTCTGCCGGAGGAAAAGGGAGTTACGTTTTAGATCGTTCAGGAAGAAAACAGAGCCGTTGGTTAATAAGAACACTGAAAGTAACGAATCTGACGTCCACCAACACCCTCGAAGCTGTTCTGTCGTTGACTCCCAGGTTGGTTTTGTCTTTTCTCTGTTTTATTACCAATCACTTCATTTGTCAAGTTTTGATTTTGAGTTGAAGCTAATTTTCATAATGCTTTTACTTCTTGCAGGATGCAAGCTGCTGGGAATTGAAAGAAATAGTCAGCAGAAATGAACAATCAAGGCTGAAAACCAATGTGTTCTTTGCCTCGTTTGACCAACGGAGTGAGAGAGCTGCCGGGGAGAGTGCCTGCACGGCCCTGGTCGCAGTCATCGCCCACTGGCTCCATTCAAACCAGGACTTCATGCCAACAAGACTTCAATTTGACAGCCTGATTACTGAAGGTTCATCAGAATGGCGTAAGCTTTGTGACAACATTACTTATACCAATTCCTTCCCTGATAAACACTTCGATCTCGAGACCGTTTTGGAAGCTGGTCTCAGGCCTGTAACAGTCTTGAAAGACAAATCGTTTACTGGGTTCTTTAGCCCTGAAAAGTTCGAGTGCTTAAAGGGTGCTATGTCTTTCGATGAGATATGGGAAGAAATAAGCAGCGACAGAAATGATTCTGACCCGAGGGTTTACATCGTCAGCTGGAACGATCATTTCTTCGTGTTGAAGGCTGAATCAAACGCTTATTACATCATTGATTCTTTGGGTGAGCGGCTGTTTGAGGGGTGTAACCAGGCATACATGTTGAAGTTTGATGGCTCGAGTTTGATGTATGGGAAGAAGGCCGGAAAGCAAGAAGCAGGCAACTCAGAGGAAACAGGTGAGGCGGAGGGGAAGGAGGGGGTTGAAGAAGAGGTAATTTGCAGTGGGAAAGAGTGTTGCAGGGAGTATATTAAAAGGTTTCTGGCTGCTATACCGGTCAGGGAACTTGAAGAGGAAGAGAAAAAGGGCACAGCGTCTTCTTTCTCTCTTCACCAGCGACTGCAGATTGATTTTCATTATACCTCTTCTTCTTCCTACTCCTGCTCCCCCTCTGCAACTTTTTCAACTGACTTCCTTATGTAAAGCAAAGAGTGTTTTTGAGCTCTTGTTTAGTATTTTTCTTACTCTCCAAAGTGTTCATGCAAAGAAATTGATGTACCACTATCTCAAAACTCGATTACGTTTAGTTCGATCTAATAAATGATCATAATAAATGCAGCAAAATTTGAAGATTGTAACGCCCTATCATTAGCTTTCGGTTCATAACCTACTTTCCAACCTGGAATTGAATCAATATTGCTCCCATTTTGATACTATGCTCCATCATAAATTGATCAGAAAAGCTGTACTCCCAGCAACTCCCCAAGCTCAAGTAAGAGGCTTTACTGAAAGATTAATCTTTTATCTATGATCAAATCCATACAAAAGCAAAGGATGGAATAATTCCTACAAAACGCCCAATCCCCATCCCTTCTTTTTTGTCAGCTGGGGATTCCTCGATCTTCTCAATATCAACCTTGAAAGATGCCTCAGGTTTCCGTTCGCAGACTCAAAACGTAGATGAAGCAGCAAGAGTCAGTCATTTTTATACTTTCAGATGCCAGGAACCTTTGAACCCCCGTCCTTACTTTTGAAGATCTCTCCCTCAAGCTTTTTAAAGACAAAATTACATTATCAGAAAGGTCCATATTCTCCACCACAATCAAGGTTGAAACTTGAAACTAAGAAAGATTAGAATCTGACCCCACCAATGGCAGCTCAGTACTCAAAATAAAGAAAAGGCAAACAACCCCCGTCATTCATTAATGATTTCCACCCTTCCTAATTAGACCAAGTATACAGGGCCCACATAACGGCCATCAAGAATATTGACTAAGAAAATAATACTGGTTAGATCTTGTAAAGAGACCTTGTCCCCTACTCAGTACTCATACAAACAATAGCTTTTTCTGCCAGATTTTTCATTTATTAGTTCTTGCCGCCCTACCTTCTTAATCAAACCAATCAGACAAGTTGTCCACTGACGAGATAACTCGTCCATTGATGAGATTATTTCTTCTAATGGGTAAGTTTAAGGCCAGGTGAAGAGAAAAGAACAACTTTTCTTCACGGATAACATACTGTCCATGTGTCACAACCACAACTAAGCAGAAATGAAAGCTGATCACAGAAAAAGCCTATGGCTAAGTTGCCCCGAATACAGTACCCAAAGCATTTATATTATTCTTATGCTTTTGCACTTTACTGTTTTCCAGAGTGTTTATCAAATAAAGCCATGGATCAGACAGAAGGAAACTGTGGTATCAAAAGTGAACATTGACTCATAGGGCTTAAAGTTCTACAAGCAGCAACATGTAAGACAACATTCTTTATACATTGCGGATCAAGAGTCCCTTCTGTCCGTTTGTTGGTGATTGCCTCATCTAACTGAAACTCACTCAATATGTACACCTCACATTCTTGCAACATTTAAACACACTGCTCATCAACACATAACTCTAACTACAAAAAGATGGCAAAAAAAGAAAAAAAGAAAAAAAAAAAAAGAGCAGCAGCACATACTCACCAAGGCCATGTCAATGGTCTAAAGGGACTGAGTCTAGGATCCTGCACTTTTCATTCTTCCAGTTAAGTGGCTGTAAGGAAGCTTTGGCGGCAAACAAAATTGCTGATCCACTGCTGGACCATAAACTGTCTTTCTCTTTCTCATTGTTGCATCTACATTCACATGCTCACCTTCTACACTCCATTTGTTTAAAGATGAGTTCAAAGGGTCTTCTCTGTTGCTCCTAGGAAAGGAAGATAACATTTTATCAATTGATGGCGTCAGATCACCGAATCTGTTCCACTCTAGAGAGGTGGAACCAGTGTCTTCAATTTCCTGAAGCCGACTCTTTCCAACACTCCAGCAAGGTATTGAAAGAGGGCGGCCCAACCGCAACGATAGATCACAAGCAATTTCATGTGGGTTGTAAGAGGTATTTCTCACATCTGTTTGGTTCATGTTATTGGAAGAGTCCACATCAGGAGAGAAGAGGTTATCAATGACACCCATCTTAGCAGGCTCTACTGTGTTAGATATTGCCTTGGGGAAGATTCCAAAACCATGCTGCATTTCTTCAAATTTATGGTGGTTTCCATAGTAAAGAGGATAAACTGAATACAAATTAGGAGGAGGATACTTCTCCATAGGTAAGCATTGGCTATAACTAGGAAGAGGACCATTCTCAGATGCAAAAGGAAACTTGTTAGTTGTGCAATTACTGTCCTGGGCAATGTGCTTCTGAGATTCAGAGCCTAAATGAGTCACGTTCATGATTGTGGATTTCATGAAGCCAGAATAAGTAGCCATGAAATTTGGGTTAGTTGTGAGATTTGCTTGAGTAGTGTACTCTGCCTCTTGAGTGCCCGGGCTAAGGTAACACCTCGGATTGCAATTGCGTTGGCTCCTCAAGGTTCTTCTTGGGGTGCAGCCTAAATTGAGAGCAGCTAACCAGCAATAAGATAGATAAATCACATCTCAGGGAACAAAAAAAATTACGCTTTATAAAAGGTACTACATTTGAAGCCAGTGCTCTTCATAATTAACCCAAAAAATATCCAGAAGCAACAAAGCCCCAATTAAAAATATGCATACTTGGCCTCAAATTCAAACAGAGGAAATTAGGCAGCAGAATTGAAAGGGTACCTTCAATACAAGGTTGAAGAAGCTCTCCTGTTTCAGTACTCTCATCGCGTTTAATGATTGTGTTAATAGCATCATTTGTTCGATCCCACAGGGTTTTAAGGTCCATGTACTCAGCCTGTGCAATAATTAGAATGCAAAATATGAACTTGACATGCAAAATATGAACTTGACAGATCAACAGAACCAATCCCACCCCCTCCATTAAAGAAGACGAAGAAGAAGAGAACCTAATGCATTTACTACTAACAAATTTACTTGGTCTCCAAACTACACAAGGAACGAGCAAAACGACGGAAAATATCGTGATCAAGGTTTGTTCTTTCCATTTAAAACTTAATATAGCCGAGCAGAGGAGGATGAGCAGTGTTAAGTTTCAACAGACAGTGGGCAAAAAGAGAATTTTTACCTCGGAATTGGCTTTGGAATACATAATTTCTTCTGCTTTCAAGACAACAACAGGAAGTTTCTCTTGCCATTCCTTGTTCTTCTTGGTTGCTGAGCTATGAATCTCATTTACAACTCTAAACCAAATCAAATACATATAAAAAAAAAACTAGTGACAAACAAATCTAGTAAGTAGATATAGCTGCACATGAAATAAATACAAAGTGAAAGTGGGAAAGGACCTGAAAATTTCTTGAATGACAGAACCTCTCATGGGTTGGTGTCTATCACTATGCCAAGCTCTTCTCTCACAGACATAAGGTCTTGGACCTGGTCTAGGCATCTTCAATGATTTTGAGTGAAGAAGAAACAGAGAAGAGAGAAGGGCTTTTGTTTCTTCAAAGAGAACCAAAAGGCCAGGCTCTGTAGAAACTTGGGGTAGCTTATGCTTTTGGCTTTCCTTTTTCATACACTGGCCAAAAAATGCAACACTGTACCAAGCAAAATATAAGCCGTGAAAGAGAGAGAGAGTGAGAGAGAAAAGAGAATGGGGGGTTTCTTGGTTTGGGGCTTTCTTTTTCTTTCCTTTCTGTCACAAACTCAATAATTTCAAGGGGGTTTAATTGATGAGTTTGGTGTGTCCCCCACTCATCCACATGCCTGCTTCCCCTAGCCCCAAGAGTCTCTCTCTTTCCTCTTATTTTATTATTGTTTCTTGGGTTTCTTTTTTACTACCCTCATGTCCCAAGTCCTGACCATACGTACATGCTAGTGGTAGGGGTAGAGGAATTGATAACATTGTCACTGTCGGTGGCATCTATGTGACCCCAACCTCTTACTCATCCCCCTATTCTGCAAAGTCCTCGTGATTTGCAAATCTTCATCAACAGTGGCAAATCCCCTTGCGCTTATAATGTCTCAATACACTCACAGGGCCAAAACTCATGCTTTTGACTGTTGCTTTAACCTTTTCTGAGGTTTGTCCTGATTGCCAAAAATAGAAAAATTAACCTCAAAAATTATATTCTACATGTACGTGCATACCTACAACATGATTCATCCATGCATGCATGTATGTATCCATCAAGAACCATGTGCTTGTACGGATAAAAGGGAATAAAAAACACCCATCAGTATTCAAGGTTTATCTTTTCACTAGTGTGTCTTCCATCACCAAAATTCACGAACTTTTTGCTTCATTGCACCCATGGCAAAGAAGCTCTTCTGGGAAAACTACAAACTTTTTGGGTGCGTGGAGAGGCAGTGAACCGTGTGAATGATCCATGCAAGCAGCGTAGGCCATGATCTGTCCACGACGGGGTCCAAGCCTTAGCCCGCCCCCCTCCTCTTTGGGCTGGGAATGGTCCCGTTGTCGATGGGTGGGTTAGCCAAGCTTAGCCACCACTAGCCGACACACCGTGTTTTTCACTTTTCTTTTCCTTTTTCTAAGTTAAAGTAATTAAGGATTTAATTAACATCAAAATTTAAATGAAATAACAAGTTAAATTTAGAAAAAAAATTGACAAACTCAAACTCTAAAATGAATATTAAGCTAGAAGACAACAATCATTCAGTTGAATTTTGTTTAGTAATAATAGCATTCATCCATTGTAGCAAATACAACCTTAAACATGTGGGTCCCACTTTGCTTGCATGTCAGCCACGTGTGAATCCCATAAAATTAGTCTTAACGTTTTAGCCACAGACTTGCCATAAGAAGAAAGAAATTTCTCACCCGCCAGATAATGGAAATCCTGTTGACTGATTCACACTACCATTAGCAGAAAAAGCAGTATTTCCACGGCCTTCATTATTATCTTCGCATAAATTACAAAAAAACATTTTCTGTATTATTTTCCGCCGTCGATTTAGCTTACCATAAAAAAATATTTCCACAAATCCTCCTGCTTACACCAAATCCCACTTTTCTCTCTCTAGATGTCACTCTCTTTCGCTCTCTAGGATTTGTTTCCCTCTCTCTGTCTGTGTGGCTGTCTCAGTGTCTGAAAGTCACTCTCTTTCCACTCTAACGGAGGAAACGGATCAACCATGCTGTCCCCAACCCCGCTGTCTCTTTTATGTGCTCTGCTCCTCTGCTTGCCTTTAGCCGTTATTATTACAATCAATTCTCCGGCGACCACCACAACCACCACCGTCATCGAGGGTTCCGGAGACAACCCAGTCCCGGATTTTGTCCCTGCAGCCAAAACCCACCAAAGATTCTCCTTTAAACCACCGCCCCTTCCGCTAGAAGATGACAAATCACTGTTCCGAGTCGCTGCCCGAGTCAGCTCCAGGCCCCTTCCTGGGTCTCCTAAAAAGATTGCATTTTTATTCCTTACCATAACGCCTCTCCCTTTTGCGCCCCTCTGGGAGCTTTATTTTAACCAAACGCCTAGAAACCTCTTCAATATTTATGTCCATGCCGACCCGACTTACCCATACGACTCGCCGTTTTCAGGCGTGTTCGCTAACCGAGTCATCCCTTCGAAACCCGCTCTCCGTTTCACGCCTACTCTCATCTCTGCTGCGCGGCGGTTATTGGCTCACGCGCTGCTTCATGATCCATCAAATTACATGTTTGCCCTTTTGTCCGCCTCTTGCATACCCATTCGCTCGTTTAACTTCACTTACAAAACCCTAACTCGGTCCAAGAAAAGCTTCATCGAGATTCTGAACAACGAGATTGGGAGTTACGACAGGTGGGCTGCGCGTGGGCCGGATGCGATGTTGCCGGAGGTTAAGTTGGAGGATTTTAGGATTGGGTCCCAGTTTTGGTCGCTGACACGTAAGCACACGAGGCTCGTCGTAGGCGACCAGAAGATTTGGGCCAAGTTCAATCAACCGTGCGTGGTTTGGGACACGTGTTACCCTGAAGAAAATTACTTTCCCACCCTCTTGCACATGCTAGATCCCCGTGGCATTGTGCCTGCCACTCTGACCCACGTGGACTGGAACGGCAGCTCCGATGGTCACCCCCGCACGTACGAGGCATCCGAGGTTGGCCCCCAGTTGGTCATGCAGCTTAGAAAGGACAAGCCTAGATACGGGGACGACGGAACCAACGACTCCGATTCGTCCGTGATGCAGCGGCGTGACGCGTTCTTGTTCGCTCGGAAGTTTTCCCCGGATTCAATCCAGCCCTTGTTGACTATAGCTAGTGACATCATTTTCAAAGATTAAAGGATTTTGTTTACGCGGTCGCGTGAATGTTATTTTTGTAAATTTCCTTCTTTCTACATTCTAACATATAAAAAAGGGAAAAAAGGCTGGGAAAGAACCCAGTAATTTTGTTTCTGTCAAACGTGCCCTTATTTTTCGCGCCTTTGTCCTTGAGTGAACTCGATCCGGGTGACCCGGTTTGAAGAAATACAGAAACAAGAAACGTTTTAGTCTTCTTTTCGAGGAACTTTAAGGTTAATAAAAAAAATGAATTTAACAGAAACACAAATTCGTAGCCAAACACTGTGTTAGAGTGTGGTGGAAGCGAGGCTTCGATTTTCGAGCCACCGCGTTTTCTATCTGGGTTGGACCAGCTGATCCGGTTTTCTTTTCCGGTTCTTCTCTATAACTTTTAGGTGGGTTATTTTCTACTAATCTTATCCATTCCCTGCCTTTTTCACCTTTCCTTAACGATGTTGATTGACCATATTTCTCTTTTGGTCGGGACCAATTTTGACATTGATCTCCATGTGGTTCTGCTGTGACAGACACACACCTGTGCAACTTTATTGGGGCACCAATTAGGAAAATCTCTAAATATTAAGAGTAAATTTTTTTCATAAAAAAATTTTATTTAAGATGTAAAATGCTTTATGGGTAGATTAAAAAATATTTATTGAGTATGTAAAATATTTTATGCTCTTGAGAGGTGCAAGAAATTTTTTTGGAGAAAAGAAAAAATGCTTTTATTCTAAACCTAGCAATATAAATTTAATGAATTCGTAATATTTAACTTAAAATATTAAAAAATAAAATAATATTAATATTTAATTTAAAATATAAATATTATTTAATACTATTAAAATTAAAAATACTTTTCAATAAAATCATTAGTGTAATTAATCTATAAATTGAATAAATTTTATTAATAATTATAATAAAAATATTTTAATTATCATTCTTTGATGAATTCACATTTTTAAATATAAATTTTAAATATTTTACACAATTGATGAATATTGATATTTTTATGACGTTATGATAAAAAAATTATCAGATAGAAATTTTTTTAAAAAATTAGAACTTACTTTCACTACAATAGGTGATTAAATACTTTAAAAAATATAATTTTTTTATTTTTATATTTAATTTTAGTGTGAAAACCAAATAGTAATATTATTTTATAATTACTTCCTATTTATCATTTTAATATTTAAATAACTCTATTGGAGATGGTAGAAAATATTTTTCACAAAATGATCAAAGTAATAAAAAATGTTTTCGATAGTTTATTAAAATAACAAAAAAAATTAAATTTTTTTATAAAATAGTTAACACAAAAAATACCTTTTCAGTAAATTATTTTCTAATTAGTAATCGACCCTAAGATTCACAATCTAACATCCTAAAGTGGGTTATCCTGATATTCACCATAAGAATCTTGTGAATGGTCTGACTGCTGACACTATAGTACTTGGCAATAGGCAAAGTACGCAGAGGAATCTGCAAAGGTGGTAAAGGGCACCAAAGAGCCTGCATGGAGCCCACTTCGTAAAAGGACTATGAGTTTTGCTTTAATGGTTGCTGATTAATGTCGCTGCTGCTGAAGCATAAGTACCTTTTTACAGCTTACTACTTAGTAGTAGTAGCAGAAGCTATCACGAGCACTTGTCGGCTCAGCCACTGTAAATCTCATGTTCGAAGTTCGAACCACTCTCAATCTTCTTGTCTTGTCCAAAACGAAGTACATCGACACGTACTGTTTTTTCTTTCGAAGTTTCATGCTCTCCTGACCCCATACTTCCTAAACCAGCCGATCTAGATTCCTACTTTTCTACCTTGGATTTGAAAGTCCAATTCCATCGGGCCTGGCTATAGAAAGTCTTTCTATATAATCTACTCAAACCCAAATCAAATATTAAAAGTCTTATCTAAACTCGTACCGTGATCGATTATGAGACCAAAGCGGAACAAATTTAGATATCCCACTACTTGGTAATGTTCTTTCTTTTAAAGAAGTTTCGAGGTCATTGTAGTGGTTTCCATTGTTGTAGCCAATGGTATCCATGGGGCAACCTGGCTCACGAACCACATGAACTAGTCCATGGATAGGATGGCCCATCTAACCTCGCAAGACTAGCCCAATTACGAGAACAACTTCTGACCATAAATCGGCCTAGCTTAAATTATTATTTTATTACAAAACTAAAAAGATTAGTAGTCAACAGCACGTGAGGTGGTGGTGGGACGGATCACCTGTCATTAGTCCCAAGGGACCCACACACAGCTGCTGCTGAGCTGACCTCTCGATTAAGACAGGCATATTAGTAGGTGATCCATGATTAAAGGCGTTGGTACCTGGTACCAATCTTTTGACTTCTAATTTGCTTTATTATCCAAGTAACTGGTTTCAATTTTCAACCCT